CGCTCCCCTCTCTCCCAGTCTCCCCCCCGCCCCCCACCCTAACCGCACACGCGACGCCCATATCTCCAGCAGCCCGGTGGCAGGATGCTGGCAACGCAAGGCGCCCCGGGATTTACATGGTGACGCACGACCACTGTGTGTCCGGAGGGAAAAGGGGGAGGAGGGGCAGCAGGGGCAGGCGTAGCGTCGTTATGGGACTGATCACTCGGAATGCATCTTCCCAACGACTTAGCGATGCTATTTATTTTACCCTCAAGTGCTCGGTCTGCTCTCATTCTCTCCTGCTTCCGCCCATTCTATTCTCTTTTCCTTTCTCTCTCCATCTCCTTTTCCCTCTCCGAGTCTCTTTATTCCATCTCTCTCTCTCTCTCCTCTCTAATCGGCTACAAGAAGCAAAAGAAATCCTTTTTTTCGGTTTGCTTTGATGGATTTTGCTCTTGTAACGACCTTTCTGCAACAGCAGGCGACCAGCAGAGGCCGCATTCCCCACTGACCCGGTTTTTGAAACGACTTCCAGCTGTCAATCGCCTCCCCGGCCTCCTCTCTTTCTCTCTCTCCCTCCCTCCCTCCCTCCCTCTTCCCTGACGCCCTACCGCCCCTGCTGTGCCTCTCTGCTCTGGACGAGGCGCTGACGCCCCGGAGAGGCTTTCCCTCATATTTTCTTCATCCTCATGGCTGGTGTGGCGTCATGCCTCCCCATTACAGCGCTCCGCCCCACCACGCCGCCACCCTTGCGGATGGGCGGGGCGCGGTGGGGCGGGGCGGGGGCGGAGGGATGCGCAAATACGGCCGCTGTGGGGACAGAAGGGACGACCCATTTCCCGACGTAAGGAACCTTCTTGGAAATAATTCGCCTGGAAATGGAAATTATTCCCCCCCCCCTCCCCCACACACACAGCGGCGTAAAAGAAATAAAATGAAAATGCATTTTCATTAGTAGAAATCATGATTTCCGCAGACAAGAATTTATATCAGTTTTTTTTTTCTTTTTCGAATGCTGCTGGTTTAAGTTCTAATAAAGAGAGATGTTTTTAGTTTGGGAGTGTTTGTCATATGTTCCGTGCCCTACATCGAGGAGAAAAGCACTTACGCCCAAAAAGACGGAGGTATAAAAAAATTTCTGAGAGCAGCGCAAAAGAAGCAGCACTCGCAGCAGCACCAGCAAAAGCCTTCTGGATCGACCCTCCTTTTTTTTTGCGAATGCCTCGTAGTTTGCGGGAGAAATGAGCCGTGATGCTGGAAGCTGTAGGGGGCTGGGGTGGAGGGGGTGGCGTTTGAAGGTTATCGTGCCGATCCACGATGCGTCGGAGGGGAAATGGGGATGAGGTGGGGGGGGGGGACGCTTGCTGGGACGGAATGCGTGCAAGGTATGCCTTTACGAGGACCCGTTCCGTGTGCCAGCGACATACACGGCCCGGGCGAGCACGTCACGGCTGGCTGGGCCTTCCCTGTGTATGCGCGTCTCTTGCCGCTTCTCTTTGCTGTACGACTTTCGATTTCCTCCTTTTGCCGTCGCTCACAAATAACGACCCAGAAAGTACGTGAACGGCCGCGTCATCCGCCGTTCACGAACCTGACAAGTTTAGCCATGCAAAGACTCTCGTAGCGCCTGACAGGTAGGCAAACATCTTGCGTACAGTGCATGCGTGTATTGCGGTGTGGCCTATCCGGAGTTTCGCAGGCGCCAAGCAGCTCCCGTATATAATCCATCGAATAAATCTGTACTTTCAGGACGTTGGAAACAATTTCTTGTTTTTCCCTTTTTGGAAGGTTGCCATACCCATCAAAGGTACGTTTTTGATGCAAGTTTTTTTTTTTTTTGTGAACTTGCGAGTTTAGCAAGACCATTGTCGTGCTGACTTTAGGAAACAGTTCTCTTTGTCACGAGTAGCTTGCCGTCAGCACGAAGTGCTATGCACTTGAAAACGCAAAATATACTCAAAAAGTACAAATATCACTTGACAACTGGTTGTCGTTCGTCGTCTCAGAACGCTAAATATTGGGCGTCTTTGGTCGCCAATCTTTTGGCGTTATAAAACGCCAACCAGTTTGGAGTGGCAGTAGTTATTATTGATTTTAGCGCGCGAGGTTCTATAGGTATACAGCCCCACCCCCTCCGTGCACCACCGTACGGCGCCGTCGGCAGAAGGAATCTTTCTCCGTCAAAAATCCCATGATTGATGTAAACCCGGGCCTAAGCCTAACAATTGATTCTTTCTCTCCCCCCACAACTCCCTGGACGTGCGTGCGCTGCTCACGGCCATCGTCCCTCCTGCTCCTCCTCCTTCTCCTCTTGAACACACACACAAGTCCAGGCGAGGCCAAGGCCTTTCCGAACAC